TCCCTCTTCCTCTTCATGCCCTCCTCAGCGTGTGGAAACATCCTCTGCAGGGCATTGAGGATTTCTTGCAGGGCGCCGCCTAGAAGCAGGTGGACCACAGGGGACAGCGGTTTGGCCGGGGAGGCGGCAGAGCGGTGCGAGGTGGGCGACATCTTCTTCAGGGCTGCTGCAAAGTCGCAGCTGCTGACGGCGATGGAGGAGACGTCCAGCAGGAGCTTCTGGGACGTGCCGTAGATCTGCGGGTAGCGTCGGCGCAGAGCGCACAATGCCGCCTCGGTGCACACCGCCCTGATATCAGCGCCGCAGTAACCTGAGAGCGACGGAGGCTCAGGAAGTCAGGTTACCAATGAAAAAATAACTACATTTTCCTGAGACAAAAAAAAGCTGCTGCCATTTTTCTCACCGACACATTTTTCTGACAGTTCATCGAGAAAGTCTTCAGACGGAGGAGGTTTCCACTGCCGAGTGTGGATCTTCAGAATGTCTTTACGAGCCTGAAACACACACACACGCGCGCGCACACACACACACACACACACACACACCTAAATTAAGGTCCCTGCTGCAGTTCCTCTGATGTCCAGCAGAGGCGGCCTCCGACTCCCACGGTAAAACTTTACAGCGGAAACAAACACGTTTACATCCTGATCCTGAAACAATCACTTCCCTTCATCACAACCGTGCTGGTAGATTTTTTAACACCAGCCCACACTGACGCTGCACAGATGACGGATGCAGCTGAAAATATATAAAATCTAATAAAGTAAAGAGTCACCTCTCTGTCGGGAAGGCCGAACAGGAACTCGCGGTCAAAGCGCCCGGGCCGCCGCAGCGCAGGGTCGATGGAGTCGAGCCGGTTTGTGGCTCCGATCACGACGACCTCCCCTCGACTGTCGAGCCCGTCCATCAGAGCGAGGAGCGTCGACACGATGGAGCTGCGAGGATTTCCATTTATTTAGTCTGGCACACGTTTCCTTTGTGTCAGGAATAACTTTACAAACAGATTATTACTAATCTACAGCGGCGGCGGCGCCTCTGACCCGTTACACTGGACCTCAAACTCTGACACCGCCGAGGTGACACGTGTGGAGAAGCTGAAACTGACCTGTGGATCTGGTCCTGCCTGCTGGATCGGACCGGAGCCAGACCGTCGATCTCATCGAAGAAGATGATGGACGGACGCAT